GTTGAAAGGTTCTGAATACTTATGACCATGTCATATTTCAGTTTTTCTTTTTTAATAAATCTTCAAAAATGTCAAACATTCTTTGTTTTTCTGTCAATATGGGGTGCTGTGTGTACATTAATGAGGAAAAAAATGAACTTAAATGATTTTAGCATATGGCTGCAATATAACAAAGAGCGAAAAATTTAAGGGGGTCTGAATACTTTCCGTACCCACTGTAGATACTTGTGTAGAAAAAAACTCTGGTAAAACTAGAAGTATAAGGCCAGTCATTTTCTATATTGACACTCTTTGGATGTGCGAGATCTCCGTGGAAGCGTGAGGAGCTAGCGGACTATAAACAAACCAGAGAGCTTGTAATGATGACACATGTCACCCAGCATAGCAGTGTGCACATTCTGTAGCAAGTGCTAAAAAAACTAACAAAAAACTGATCTTTTCCTTCAAATGTACAGTATTAAAGCTAAAAGTAACAAGCTTTGAAAGTGTAAGTAAGGAGTAGAAAGTACAAATGTTTGTGTTAAATGTAGGGAGTAAAACTAAAAAGTTGTCAGAAAATGAATATTCCAGTACGGATACAGTGCAGTACAGTATTAGTATTCAACAGTTGATCCTTCTCGGTGTTGTGGGCCCAACTCAACGAAATACCAGTTATTGAGAGGGTGCCCACCTGATGACCCTGGATACCTCCCTTGACTTACACCCACACAAAATTTATACTGGGGCTGCTAATAATAGAGATGTTTTATTCAGAGCAGACATTATTGGTATATTTTTCTTGTGGTTCATATGATATTAGTGAGTGTGCAATGCGAGGGTAGAAAGCAACTAAGCATGATGTCCTGTGTCTTCTGATATTTCATGGTACCATGACCACCAGCGTGGCTGAACAGAGATAACGCTGACAGCTATCTCAGTTATTATAAGCAAATGGGGGCTTGGGCTGTCCTGTTGCCACTGAGTATATTTAACCACACCAGTGATTTTAGTCAGCAGGATGGCCTGCATTTTATCCATGTAATGGTGCCTTTGACATCACTGGATATGCATTTGCTTGTTATGGATTTATGGCCTGATGCCCCTCTTTGGGGCCAAGTGATGGGTCAGACACAATTTAACTTTGATACTAAACCTAGAAATGCTCACCTATTCTCTGACACATTTAATTGTGTGTTGTTAATGGTTGGTAGTATTATTTATTATTAAAATTTCTACATGTATTTGAATGTGCTTATTTCATCACAGGGGTCAGAGTGCAGTAGTTTGGGCTTCAGTATCTGAAAGGGTCAGAAATGGACAGTCACACTGGCAACTTTAAAACTGTATTACTTTTTTTTTTTTTTTTTTTTTTTTTTTTTTTTTTTTTTTTTTTTTTTTTTTTTA